CTCAGAAATATCCAGTACACCTATTTTTCTCAAGTGAAGGCCTAAGCAGGTGACTGGCTATGCTACCGTTAGTGATTATCTCAGAACAACAGTGCCCAGGTTTTGGGTACTGTGCCCAATACCCCAGATAGAAAATGTCTCCCCTTAGTCAACCTAAGCTTCCTTGTTTGCAGGAGTAAGGAGGAGAACGAGTCATCAGCCTCCTTCCTACATCACCTCCTCCATGTTTAGAGTCACTCGTTTGTTTCAGGGGGGCTGTAGTTCGGTCTGCCAGCTACCAGTGTGCCTTCAGCTACCCATTAGTTCTTAGAAAGCCAGAAGTCAAGGGAGGATATGAAAATCAGCTTCTATTTCATGCTACAGTTTTTATTTTTCAGCAAAAGCCAGACTTTCTCCTGTTGTGAATTTCTAAAAAGCAGCTATACCCTAACTTCAGAAAAAAAAAAAAAAAGATTTTAATTAGTATTTACCAAAATGGAAGGGGTTTTGGTCACAGGCTCCAGAGTACAAGACTAGTATTTTCTTGAGTGTAGTGTGTCACACCTGTGAATTCAGGTCACTGCTAAACATCCTCCCCACTCAACTGGAAGCTGAGTGAGGGCGGACGCCAAGATTGCCTCCCTCAGAGGTGCACTCCCAGTACCCGGCACAGCATTTGGCAGGCAGACAGCAGGTAGACTCATCTGATCGGGAGACCTGACAAAGGCCTTCTGAAATCATGATCCAGCACTCTTTGCAGACATGAGACAGTCTGTAAAAGTCATACCTGGAAAGGATTTGTGCAGCATGGTGTAATGTGTTAATGACAAAGCTTAGCTCACTCTGGATTCTTTATTTCCAATTCACACACTCCACCCAGCATACCCAGAGGTCAGACTACCGAGGAGAAAGGTACAGAAAGCGCGGATCTGAACGTCTCTGGCCAGCTGCCCGATTCCCACTGTTACTTATCAGCTGGATCACAGGAGCCCTTCCATAAATATTCTTGGCATATGTGCACTTTATGTAAAACTCCAAGAATAGAACCCAAGACAGAGTTTTACAGCCATCGCAAAGAACCAACTGACTATCATACGAAGGTCAAATTTTAAGGCGGTCAAGTCACCAATATGAGCTATTTTTCCATAGCTCAGTGACTGCTCAATCAAATCTCCTGCTAAAGAGAACTTTGATCATATACAAGGAATGTTGTAATATATGATTTCAGGATTTCTTATAAAGCAAATATATTTAAAAATGGAACTCCTCTTGAGCTCAGAGAAAAAGGGAATGTGGATTGTCAAGGGGGATAAATACGATCTAAAACCAGACTGTGGCAATGGATGCCCAACCATATATATTAAAACAGCTAACTATAAATTGCACTCAAAAAAATCATTTTAAAAGTCTGAAGATGATTCAGATAATTAATCTACTTTGTAAATTTTGTATTTACAAAATTAAAAATTAGTATTAAAAATATACAGATCTTTTACTACTCTCATTTTTTTTTCCTTTGGGCAGTCCCAGGGATTGAACCCAGGGCCTCACATATGCCAGGCAAGTACCCTACCGCTAAGCTACATGCACATCACATCTTGTTCTACTCTGATACAGGGTCTGGCTAAGATGCCCAGGCTGACCTCAGATTTGCAATCCTCTTGCCTCAGCTTCTCAAGTGGTGGGAGCACTGGCACGCAGTACCGCCACCCCAGGATCCTTAGAAGTCTTCCTCTTATCTGCTTCTTCACCTAAAGTGTTGAAAGTGCTCCTTTTGTAAAAATAATTTAGGATAATATAAATATCTATAAAGGACCAACCTTCATTGATGTAGCAGTGAAAAACTGACTAGTATGATTATCTGCATGAATGATCTACAAATATATTTATTTAAGCACAGTATTTTATTGAAAACCCTGCCATTCTGTTTTCACTTTTGGGTTCTAAGCAAGTTACACATCCTCTCCTGGCTCCCATTTCCCATCTATAGTTAAATAGCACATTAGAAAAAGAACAGCACTTAGTACTTAATGCATACTAATATGCCAGATCATTTACAGTATCATCCTTTGAAAAAGGTATTACTAGCCCTGGGCAGGTTGGGGGGGGGGGGACTGAGATTAGTGGCCCAGAAAGAAGTTAACTAATTTTACTAAGGTTACACGGTTATTTAGTGGCAGATTCACAATTCCAATCCAGAACTATACGGCTCCATTCCTCCAGAGACTCTGGTCTTCTGATTTCTTCAGAGGCGGCATAAATCCTGACCTCAGTGTATCAGTCACTGTCTCAGCCCCAGCTTCTTCATCTATACAAGGAGGTTGCTAGGACTTAATTCTTTAGGTTTTATGAGAATGTAAGACTGGGTCGGCTGTAATTAGAGGCCTTTCAATAAAGACTGTCTTCTACCTTCACAGAAGTTCCTTCCTGTGTCTACATTTCAAAAACCTATAAATTTTATGTTTTCCTTGTAGCCTACCTGGATTAGCCTCCTTGGGACTGAGATCTAGCAACAGTGATTACAGTAAACCCAAACAGCCGAGCCTTACGTCTCAGCTATCAAGTCCTTGGCCCTGTGACGACGACTGTCAACAGGAGTGTCAACTTCAAGGGGTGGGCATCTATCCACAGGAACTGAGCTGAGGCCACAGGCTTGCCTCGCTCTGCCCTACCAACAGATGTCTGGGTGACAACTCTTAGTCACTGCAAACCAAAGGCAGAGCCAAAGCCAGTGGGAAGTGCTGTATCTCCTTCCTAATCTTCTTGGCCCGCCTGCTCATTCCCTAAGACAATGCTTCACGGGCCATACTTCAGAATCGCTTGTTTTCTCCAGGATGCTACTTTTCACAGAATGCCTTTGTTCTCATGTCTGGGGATTCCACAAGCAGAAGGGACTGTGTATGAATGTGGTCTTCCAGAAAGGAACCTATCTGATTCTGTGTCTTAGCACACACACCCTCAAGGTTACCTTGCAAGCAGCCAGGTAAAAGCTGATGTGATGTGGAGCTCTAGTGGTAGCAAGATAGTAAAGCAGTTTTTACAAGAAAAAAGAAGCCAAGAAAAATCCCTGTTTATTAAATTACCATATTCAGAGGAAAAATAGCCTCAAATAATCATTCTCAGTAAACTAATGGAATCATTTTCTTCCAGATTACAAGTTAGACTTCAATAACTAACCCATTAGACACTATGAAGCAATAATGTCTTCTCAGAAAATAGACCTCAGGCTCGTGGAGATCACTTTTCTACTTTTTACCAAACTCGTTAATACTCCTATTGAACACTAATTACTTTTCAGATAGACAGCAAAAGTACAGTATAAAAAAATACTAGACTCATGAAAAGGTAGGTATCAAATGGTTCCTCTTCTGTGAGGAACCCAGATCATAAATAAAAGTTAAATAAAGGAGAGATGTAGGAAACCAAAAAAGCAGACCATTTAGGGATGCGAGAAGGGATAACAAGACAGGTAAGTTAAAGGGACCAAAAACGATCAATGTATGCCAAATACATATAACGATTCCTCAAAATAAATGTAACTAGTATGTCTTGCATACACTAATATTTTTTAAATGCTGAACTCAAGTGACATGACTAATGAAGTCCTGTACCAACCATCTCAGGAATTTCAACAATCCCTGCATCCTGACAGGCTGCTGTGAATTAATTCCTGGACTAGAAGTCCTTTCTTGAATACCCAACTTTGGATAACATCACCAACAAGAATGAGACCTACAGTGTCAAATGTTGACATTTTATTTCCCTGTAACCTAATATATCTTCTCAAAAGTCTTCAATTAAAAACTATTCTCGACAGACTATAAATAGTACATTTCTTATGCTGTACAAGCTGGAGGTGATGTGGTATTCAGAATTCTAAGCATGCTACTGGTTTAAGTATGGCAAACAAATTAGCACGAGAAGAAATAAAATCTCAGAATAGAAGAAAATAAGGAACTGGCCTACCAGATCCTGTGCCACACTTTAAAGTGGAAACATGTTCTAAGAATTATGTCCTTGGATGATTTCATCACTAGACAAACATCACAGGCTACACTTACACTGTCATGGGGCCATGACAGCTGCTGGCACTGGCATCACCTATGTGGTGTGTGGGCGACTGGAACACCCTTGTGAAGCCCAAGACTATATGAGCACCTAAGAACTATGTACTTGACCATTCAAGAAAATGTAGGAGACCTGCTCACCCCACAGAATGACAAAATAAACTAAAGTGTTCATAAACCCATTAATAGCATTTATCTAAAAAGCACCTCAAGAGTCATGGCTTTTATTACAGAATCTATCCATAGGTGACAACCAAGCCTCCGAGATCTGTGAATAAGGATTTAGCCATTGTGGGGGAGGGATGTGATTCACTAAGGTTTCTTTTCTCTGTGATTGTTATGCCAACATTAACATAGCTCCCTAAAAGCACACAGGGGAAAAAAAAAAGGTAAAATTATGAGAGCCTTTTCTGAGAAGTGATTGAGGACAGTTTGTAATACAAAGCTCGAGATAAAGAACTAATGTCCCTTCATTTTTTTTTTTTTTTTTGATAGAGGGAGGAGAAAGCCAAGGGGTGCAGGTGTTTTCTAACATAATGCTGCACCAAAGAATAAACAGGAACATGCACTGGTGCACCATCACCCACCAGAGAATCCAGAACCTAACACGTCTCCAGGCTTTTTCAAGAGACATTAATTTCATAAAATTGAAGAATGCTTCCCAATCTGTGAATCTTACTAAGCCCTTGTCTCTGTGCCTCATCTTGCCCATATTTTCCATGGTGATTCTTTCCATCTCTTGTGCTTTCCCTACCAGACCTCGGTATGCTGCGTACAATAGTATCTGAGGCTTCATTTGCCATCCCTTTGACTGAGGCATGTTGATTTTATTAAAGCAAGTTGGGTCTGCATTCTTTCTCTGCTGCTATGACAGGTAGAGTCGACAGACACAGGACTTTTGATTTCAAACGTACTGCTATGGAAGAGAGACCTCGTTAATAAGTTCCATTTTACCTGCTGGGCAGTTACACTCTGAAGGTGCTTCCCTCGCGATTCTTATTTTAGCCATATGTTCATAGGATTTCTGTGGGAAGAGAAGAGGCATGAACAGTCATCAGTAGCACTGTAGAGGAACGGATTCCTTAGAGACGCTGGTCGCACGCCTGATTCACCAGCATGTGAGAGCTTGCATGACTAACATTTACATATGTACTTGGACCTTAGTCAAAAGGTAACTGTACCCGAGCCCTAAAAAAAGAAAATGACCATTGTCCTGGTAGCACGATTGCTGGATTTATCTACCGTCTTTCTCCACTCAGCTCCACGACCCTCTCCCTCAGTCCAGGCATAAGCAGCCAAGGCCAAAACCTGGCACAAATGTATGTACTTCTAGGTAAACTGAGGCCCAGCAATGACGGCCACTATTTTACACATATTGTGCCCTGCTACTGCACCTGCCAAACAGCCTCCCTTTTGGGAGACTGACTCCCAACACCCCACAATGCTCCCCTAACGCCGTCCTTAAACATAATGCACAATCCTTTCAATTCTCACCTCTGAGGGCTTCGCGTTCACAAGTACCCAGCATTGCACCCAAAAAAAGCAACTTTTAAATTCTTTTAAGTAAAAAAAAAAAAAAAAAAAAAAAAAACAAAAAAACTTTTAATATGAAAATGCTCAATGGGTGAAAATACTGATTTTAAATCATATACAGGATTACTTCACTCTTATGAATGAGTGGCTTTGGTATACTAATAACACCTCTAACTCTAATCTCCACAAAAGAAGTGAAGCATTTAACAGATGTTATCTCTGCAAGGAATATTCTCCAAACAACTGAAAAAAGAATCACATGAGACTTAGAAAACTGGAGAGGTCGCCCTGGCCAGTCTTCCTTCCCTTTACTAGTCCTGCAGCTTTCAAACGTTCAGACGGAGTGGGGGACAATGACAGACAGACTTGGTGGTATCAAGAGACTGCATTTGTACAAATACATGCCACACGCGCCTGACAGGGCCGCACACAGTCAAACCAGGTGTGCATGCATAAGAGCTCTCAGGCTGCGTCCGCACTTAGTCTCCTGTGCAAAACGTTACCCACGTGCAAAATACCCCAATCTCTCACACCTGAGCCAGAAGGCGCTCCACTTTCTCCTGCACAACGGCCTTCAGCTGATCCAGGGTGTCGGGCAGCAGGCGGATGGAGGGGGCGCCTTTGGCGGATTCCAGCGCGGCGATCCTTGCCTGGAGGTCGCTGGTTTTCGCCCCGAGGTACAGACACGAAGCCACCGCGACCACGGACAGTAGGACGGCGAAGGCAGCGCTCGGGGGCACCGCGCGGGCGCAGCGCCGGGCGGGGGGCTCTTCGGACCCCGGCTCCCGCGCCGCCCCCTTCCCTGCGGGCTTCTTCAGCAGCATCGCGGCGGGGACGGCAGGGACGGCGGGCTGGGTTCCGCTCTGCACTCCCGGTCTCCCGCGGGGATCTCCGGAGGGGCGCGAGGACGACCCCACGAAGTTCGGTTCCTGCGCTGCGGGAGCGGCGGCGGGCGCACGCAGGCTCAGCGTGGGGTGCGGCGCGCCAGGAGCATCCTGCGGTGCGGCCGGGACCAGGGGACACCTGCGCGCCGCCCACCTGGCGGCCCCGCGCGCCTCTCCACGCAGCCCCGGACCTGTTGCTTCTCTTACTTTGCTTATCTCTGCCGGTCGAGATCAGTCCACGCAAGACCAATGTCCCACCTGGATGCAAGTCCGAGAAAGCGCAGCCCACGAGGAGTGGCCAAGCGCACGGGAGGGAACCGGGTTGGCCCGGGAGCGAAGGAGAAGACCAGGGCTGCCTGAATCGTCTGCGGAGCGCGGCGCTGGTGGGGCTTAAATACCCTTCAGGATCCCGGAGTGTGAGTGCGCGCGGACGCCCCGCCCTGTCCCGCCTCCGCCTTTATTAGCATAATGTATTCACCTTCTCCCCGCCCACTCTCCATGGACCCCTCCTCGGGGGGCGGGGAGCGGAGCGGGAGGTAAGATATTAGCATAATATGTAAATACTGTAGTCAAAGCAGCCTCTCTGATTGGACAGGAGCTCTGCGCCCCTCCCCTCCCCCTGTAACTTGGCGCGGGCTGGGGGCCTAGCAGGGTGCGCGGAGCCGGAGGCGGCCCCCGGCCGGGACGGCAGCAGAGTCCCTTGCATCCCGCCTGCAGGCGGGGCGCTGCCAGCACCCCGGCTCTCCGCACCCTCGTGACGCAGCCCGGGGACCCTCTTCCCTCGCTCCTCGCGGCCCGACCCGGCAGGTCTGGATCTCGGTCTCGGTCCAGGTCCCGGTTCAACCTTGGGGCGCCGCCCCCGCCCCGGCTCTGCTCTCCGGGTCGGGACGAGGGTGCTAATGCGTTTCCCTGACTCTTCTATAGGCTTGAGAGAGGGAGTGTGGAGGCGGATTTAGAAAAACACTGAAGAATGAGGTCAATTTTTCCTCTTTCCTGACTCCTGTGCGGTTCTCTCTGGTCGAGTTACAGAGACTCCATCGGGATTCTTGCAAGATGCCAGTATATAGCATTCTGCATCTCCTTGTCTTGGGGGACGGGAATAATACCACTAGGTACTCCATAAATCTCTTAACGCTGCCTCGTAGGAGACAGCACAGATTCTCCTCCTTCAAACTAACCTGGAGCCCTTGCTCACCACTGTAAGCAATCTACAAAATCCTGCACAGGGATGATCCTTCTCACCCGTGTAAACAGACAGAATACTGCTAGATACAAGAGGAAAGAAATTTCAGCAGCGTCATTAAGGGATGAAAAATGGGATGGGGAGACTGAATTTTGCTAATCTGGAAGCCATACTTCCTTACATTTGTGTTACGTAGCGTTTCACAAAGCCCCAGGACAGCAGACTCACCTGAGTACACTTAAATTGGAGAGACCCCACCCCACCCCTGGCCTCCTTTGTCAGAAACTACTACTGTAGCCAGAAGCACAACTCTCTTTGCAGAAGCCCTCCGAATGATTTCATTCACACCGGAAGTTTGAGAGCCCACTGGTATAACACTTTACAAAATACTTTCAAATGCTTTTGTAAATTTGAACCTCACAAGTCTATGGCCCAAATGAGGAATCGCTCTGCCTGTTTTATATATAAACAAGTCTCACTTGATTACAATTAAACATATTTCCAATTCTAGGACCCAAGGAACGAGCACAGATTTAGTTGCACGTGCATGTGTGTTGATTTAATCTAGGGCTTCATTAACGCTTTACTGCTGAGCTATATCCCCAGCCTGCTACAGATTTTTTAATATATTGTTTATTTCTGATTTTCCAGCTACCTCTTTAGCTTTTATGTTTGTGAAACTCTTTCTCTGTATGCCCTTTGAAAGTTTGTGCTCCCTGGTCTCTGTCTCCTGCCAGCCTCACCAGTAGAATCCCCCACTGTCATCCTTACACCGCAAGCTGAATCCAAACGTCCTGGACCTCAGCCCTACCGAGTCACCTGCCTGTGGCCCCTCCACTCACACGTCCCACTCAAAACTGCATCTTCACTGACATCCCACCTCCAAACTGCTGTTTTTCCTGCTTTCCAGCTCAGGACGCAGCTGCCATCCACCCAGTATCTCGAAGCCAAAAATCCTAAGGATAAGCCCTACTTTTTCCCCTGCCCACCTCTTCTTCACTAACTTCTTAAGAGAAAAACCATGTGTCTTGCTAGCCCCTACCCTGCCACTTGGTGTGTGCCTCCTGCGTCTTCTCCTCACCAGTTTCTATAAAGCACGGAGACAAAGACAATGCTAAACTTTTATTCTGGACAAAGCACCATTCTTAGGGTGTCAGTTAAAAAACCATTTTCTACCCTGACAATGCTGACTCTGGGTGACATATTTAGTCTCCACGGTGACATTCTCAGAGCATGCTTGGTGGAAACTGACCATGAGGCGGTACATTACCAACTCGTGCGCACTCTCAGAACCATCAGATCTTAGTAGAGAGATAGAGTTGGAATTTTGTGGATTTGAGACCTTTATCCAGAGGATTAAATTTGCTTTATGTCTTTGGTGGGCACAATACCTCAGAAATGTACCAGCCGTTAGCACTAAGGTTTCAAAACCCAGTAGATTCTCTGCATCAAGCCCAAAGAATGTGTGGATTAACAAAGCTCTAGGGGTTTGAACCCGTGTTGGTCTGCAGAGTCATCAGAGCACAGTTGTTATTTCGGCTTCTATGTGGAGAAGGATTGAAAAAAGGTAAAAATAGCACTTAAAAATGCTATAGCCCAGCTGACTCCAATTTGCTACAACTGATACCAATAGTTGTAAAATTTTGACAGCTGGCTGAAGAGCAGGTATGTGGGGGGAGGGGAAAATAGCAACCCCACTCTGTGTTCATGCTCCAGTCTCCATGCCTATGAATATGTTACTTCATATGGTGAAGCAGGTTTGCAGTTAATGGTCTTGAATGGGGGGGCTTTTCTTCAGTTACGTGGCTGGGTCCAGTGTAACCACAAGGGCCCTTAGATAAGGTGGGGGTGACAACAGCAGCAGAGATGAGAAGGCTGGCTTTAAAGATGCAAAGATCACAAGCCAAAGGATGTAGGTGGCTTCTAGAAGTTGGAACAAGAAAGGCCCAAGTTCTCCCTTGGCACATCCAGAAAGAAGCTGTTATGGCTTGGATCTAGATGTCCCCCTAAAGCCTCACGAACTCAGAGGCAGGACCTTTGTAAACTGAGTGGATGCAGAGGGTGGCTTGCTGTTAGGAGTCGTGGTCTGAGTGGAAGAGGTGGGCCATGTGGCATGGCATCCCAGCTCCTCTCTTGACCCCCTGATTCCTGTTCATCATGAAGCAAGCAGCTGTCTTCTGCCAGATCCCTCTGCCATGCTGCCCAGCTTTGGAGTCAGCCAATTATGTACTAAAATCTCTACAACCAGGAGCCAAAATAAACCTCTTCTCCTTTAAATTGCAAGTGTCGACATTGTGTCTTAGCAAGAAGGAAAGGGACTAAGACAAAAAGCTGCCAACACCTTGACTTTAGGACTCCTGACCATCAGAACCATATTAAGTTTGTGTTAAATCACTAAATATGTGGTAGCCAGATAGTTACAGAAACAAAGGGAAACTAAACTAATATAATCAAAATCACAAGGCATCAGTCTGTCTGCTGCCTCATCATGAGCGGGATGGAACACACCACAGCTGTACTGCCCTAGAACTCAAGCAGACAGTAGAGTAAAAGATCTCATCTCAAATGCTTCTGCATTTCTGCTGCATCCTGGGTATGCACGCCTGTTCTCCCATCAGGATTAGGATGCCCTCTACAGAAGTACATTAAACTGAACACGGTGCATTCTGTTCCCTCGATGCCTCCCTTTGGCTCAACTCAAAAACAGTAAATTGTCACACAGTGCAGTCCCTCTGGTCTTTCCTCCCCCCTACTTCGAGGCTGACCAGGAGCCTGACCCCAGTCCAGCCTCACTGCTGATACCGATCCACAAGTCACAAGGAAAAAAGAAACAGAGGCCAGCAGAAAGTCACAGTGAGACAGAAGGGCCTGGGAACAAACTCAGGAAAAAAGAGACAAACATAAGAAAATAGAAGGAGAGAATTTTTTTTAAGCGGATAGAAAAGAGGTGGGGTTTTTTTTCACATGGAAGATATAAATCTGCTCCTAATACCTCTAAGAGGTCCATCAATATAAAAGAATAGATGTGAAAAACAAACACATTATTTCACATGTTAATATTTTCTGTGTATGTAGAAAGATTATTGATCAAAGCAAGTCTCTGGAATATATAGACAGCACTAATTAAATCACAGAAGAATATTTCACTTTGGCTAAAAATTCTCATGTAGTACCATTAATTTTGAATTAGAGGCTAATGAATTTTTAAAACCTTTAAAACAATACCTTTAACCAATGTTTGTCCAGAAGCTACAAACAGAAGCAAATGTTAGAGACGGTTTGTGGCCTCCGGGGGCATTTACACCACCTGTTGTGTCTTCTAAGCACCTTGATAAGGAGAATGCTGAAATAAATTACGAGTACGGTTACTCGGGCCATTTCATAAACTTCAGAGATTGATGCGACCTCAGGAATCTCACGCAGGAAGGCGACTTCCCCAAGACAGTGGAGCAGCCAAGGAGTTAACCTTAAGAGACACCCTAATCCCACAGCCAGCATAAGTCCCCAACAAATTATAAATATCTTCAGGAACAGAAGAGCAGAAAAGAAGGAATTAGCTCCCAATGGCAGCTAAGAAATTCCTCTTTGCACAGACGAAGAAACTGATCTGGTTTGCACAGGCCGGCGAGGCCAGAAGCTTCCCAGCGGCACTGGCTCGTGGGGGGAAGGCGGTAAATTTTTTCCTCAACCTTTAAGTGATAGGTACTAACTCCACTTAACAAGCTTTTCTCACAATTTGCTAACTCGTATAAGAGGTAACTTTTTCCTGAACTCACCAGAGGAGCCTTTACATGAAATGCAGGGTGGACAGAGCGTGTCCTAGGGTGAGTCAGCTCCCAGGGCAGGGATGCCACACAGACTCCCAGGCCGAACCACCTGAGTTCATGATCCAACTCTGACACGTAGTTACTGTAACTGAACTTTTTGTACCTCAATTTTCTCTATGACACATGGATAATAATAACCATTAGGATTTTTACTGTGAAAAAATAAGAGTGGTATATTGAAAGCATTAGAATACCTCATAGACTTTAAGTGCAATATATGTTTTAGGTCTTACTAATGCAATTATTAACTGGCAGGATGTATGTTAGTGTTGGGGGAATGCTGGAGATTAAACTCAGGGCTTTGGCAAAGAACTACATCCCTATTTTTTATTTTGAGACAGCTAAGTGGCCTGGGCAGGACTTGAATTTGAAATCCTCCTGCCTCAGCCTCCCAGAATGCTAGGATTACCAGGC